GATTGATGCATGATTTACTTAGAATTTTTAAGGGTTGAATATAAAATTCAGCTGGGTTCATAGGTCGATTATCCCAAGAAGCTTTGACATAGACAGTATACTGTCATTCCTGAGATTAATGATGGTTTATGTGTATTACATACTTTTGCTGTCAGTAACTGTTTCAAGAAAGGAAAGATTTGGCGCAATGTAGCCAGATTAGTTAAAAATAAGAAAAGTTGTCTGTCATGCAAAGTCCTCTGTGGACGATTTCCCAGTAAGTCATGACAAGTTGGTTTGATTAGAAAACGACAATAGAGTCAACTCATTAATCGATTTAATATCGATTCCACGTATCTATCGGAAGTCAGTGCTAAAACTAATACATCTACAATCTCAAATCTTAAATTAACTGCAAATCGTCCATATTCAGATTCGCCTGAAATATTTTACCTTATCGTTTTTACCATGACAGTCTTATGAATTCTCAAATTTAATGTCAAAGGCGATGCGGTATACAAGTCACTCAATTGATCTAAGACATAATCCCTATAATTATATAAATACACCCCTAAGTCCAGCTCATAAAATGAGTTAAGTGTATAAATCTAGAAATAAATTATTCACATTGTCACTGGTGGGTGAATCTCCTCTGGGTGATGAATTCGGTTGAGTTGTATCAAGTGATTCAAGTTGGTTGGAGGGACATAGCAGAGGTGACCCCATTGCGGATAGTCATGGCATGCAGGGTTATGTCGCAGGGAGGGGCCAGGGGTAGCCCAGGGGTAGCCCAGGGGTAGCCCAGGGGTAGCCCAGGGGTAGACAAGGGGTAGCCCAGAGGTAGCCCAGGGGTATCCCAGGGGTAGCCCAGGGGTAGCCGAGGAGTAGCACTTGATGTTACGAGGTAAGAAAATACATGGGATTACGATATATATAGAGATATTCGCATGCTTTAATGATTTCTCACATTATTAAGGACTAATTTCATTCTCCTCCTGTTTGGAATACTAGTCATTACGAGCAGTACACCTATTAATGCCTGCTGAACGAGTGGTTTTTAACCAAATAATACTACTGCTACCAGCATGGGATCGAACCCTTGATAGTTTAGCCTACTTCCCACGAAGCCCGCCAAAATTCCGAGATCCTCAAAAGGCATCACCATTAAGGGACTCCTAAGAGGTATGTGTAATTCCTTCCAACGATTGCTACCAATTATACATGGCCGAGACATCCAGAAACCTCCAAACACATATTTCGAAACATTAGTACACAAGCACAATATATGATTTGAGGAATACTTGTGTTTTACACCAAAGTTCCTCAACCATTTAATCAACTACAGAGACACAAGACTCGTCGCTAGGAAAGAAGACACTCAAGTGTCGCAGAACCTCAGAATCATCACTCATCTGTATATCCAACAACATCAACCAGAACAACGGCTGTTATAACATCCTGAACTTCTTACCAGGAAACTTCTTCATCGTTATCCTACAACAAACTTATTTCCCCATTACATGTGAATCCTTTTCAAATCCATCATCTACTCAGCATATCCCACCAAACTCTTCATGTCACTATGCTTCCTATATAATCATATACTCTGCTCAGGTAGATCTGTTTGTGACTTTATAAAGTACACTTTGTAGGTGAAACATAAAGCACACTTTGTGGGTGAAACAAAGTATACTTTATGGGTAAAACATAAAGCACATTTTGTGGGTGAAACATAAAGCACACTTTGTGAGTGAAACATAAAGCACACTTTATGGGTGAAACATAATGCACACTTTGTGGGTGAAACATAATGCACACTTTGTGGGTGAAACATAAAGCACACTTTGTGGGTGAAACATAAAGCACACTTTGTGGGTGAAACATAAATGCACACTTTGTGGTGGAAACATAAAGCACACTTTGTGGGTGAAACATAATGCACACGTTTGTGGTGAAACATAAAGCACACTTTGTGGGTGAAACATAAATGCACACTTTGTGAGTGAAACATAAAGCACACTTTGTGGGTGAAACATAAAGCACACTTTGTGAGTGAAACATGAAGCACACTTTGTGGGTGAAACATAATGCACACTTTGTGAGTGAAACATAAAGCACACTTTGTGGGTGAAACATAAAGCACACTTTGTGAGTGAAACATAAAGCACACTTTGTGGGTGAAACATAATGCACACGTTGTGGGTGAAACATAAAGCACACGTTGTGGGTGAAACATAATGCACACTTTGTGGGTGAAACATAATGCACACTTTGTGGGTGAAACATAAAGCACGCTTTGTGGGTGAAGCATAAAGCACACTTTGTGGGTGAAACATAAAGCACACTTTGTGGGTGAAACGTAGTCAATAAGGACTGCATTATATTGCATTTGTTTCAATGTTTATATTCTGAATTATCCTGACAATATGGATGGTCTGATGTTTTTAACTAAAACCGAAATGAACTGAAGATCTGCAAAGTCTTGAAGCTCTAGAAAGTCCGGAAATCCTGAAAGTCTTTGAAATTTTGGAAAATCATCAAGTTGTGAAATTTAAATTTCTGGCGGGTTTTGTAGCTCTGGAACGTCAAAAGTTCCAGATAGAAGGTCTTAAAACTTTATAAATGGGAAGATCTCAAAGATAGTTTTTATGCCACTTCTAGGTCTGAAGCTAAAATAAATTGTAATTACTGACTTTTTCTTCTTGACATGAACACGTAACAGCAACTATGACGGTGATGGTGGGTATATGTATAGGGTTACTGGTGGGAGAGCTGGGCACCATCTTTAATGTAACCAGCAGCCTCACTGGCGCCATCAAGGGACCTCTTGGTGGTATCTTCCTGGTGGGCATATGTGCTCCTTGGGTTAACAAAAAGGTGAAAAGAATCTGGCATTTTGAAATTTATGTTTTGTGCCGTGTTCCTGATTTTATGTGTTTTAGGATTCTGCCTGTTTTGTTAACGTAATAATAATGATAATGTTAACAATCTGCTTTACTTGAGTAATAGTAGAATATTATTGCGGCTTAGAAAAGAGAGAAATGGAGAACTAGAACTAACGGAGTTTTTTTCATCACCCACAGGGCGCCATCGTGGGCGTGTGTCTGGCTTTCTTCTTCAACATGTGGCTAGTGATTGGGAAGCTAGTAAGAGGAGGTGGAAACCCAAGAAGATGCCTCTATCTACTCTCGGCTGCCCAGAGAACTTCAACAATACTCTCCAAGTCAGCTTCGTCGATGTACTCCATAATGGCCTCAATGATACACTTGGCTTCAACTTCACTACAACTGCCGTACCAATGACTGAGTCAGATTCTACATTTTTTTTTATACCACACAAGTAGTGGTAGACGTTCGATTCTACTTCCACAAATCATTTAAATGAGCTTACAGTTCTACTTGTTCTATTTTCCTTGCTTTCTACCGTTCTTTTGTTTCCCTCCTACATCTTCTCTTGTTGTTATGAATCTTACCATTCTCTTTATCCTCCTCCTCCTCTTCCAGCCTATCATATTTCCAATTTTTCTTTCCAGAATTACTATGTTGGGTATTCTTGCATATTATTTGTGACTTGTAAAGATTTATACCATTATTTACTCACAAGACATGTAACAAATGACACATGCGAATCTTCCTAGTGTGTGTAGCAATACAGCTACTTGTATGACTCATATCAGGTCCTGATGGTCTAGTTGATAACGAACTGTTCTGATAGTTTTAGGCCTGCTTGCAATGGGTTCAAACCCTAAAGTCGGTTAAGTATTATTATTTCGTGTAGAGGATGACGATGACGACGCAGATAATGATGACATTAATGATAATGATATATCCACAGAGGCTCTGGACAAACCATCTATGACATCTCGTACTGCTACAGTTTGATCACTGGTATCGTCAACACATTTATCTTCAGTACTATCGTCTCCTTCTTTACAGGTAACTCAGTTACTGAGACTTACAATCGTTTCATACTAACTTTCACTCTAACTTTTGCTCCTTCACTCTCAGCTTCGCTCTTACTCTCGCACTTATTTTCTCCATCAGGTTCACCCCTTCTCCCACTTGCTCCCTCACTCACGTTCACACACACTAACTTTCCCCCGCTTTTACCTTCTCTCACAGTTATTTTCGCTCACTTTTACACTCGCTCCTTCACTTTAAGTGTCTTTCTAAACCAACGTTCGGTTACTCATAGGTAAAATATATTGAAGGTGAGATAGAGGGTGTGTTTCCCAGGAGCTGGTGTTAGTGACATAGTCTAAAGGTTATATAATTACATGTGAGGTAATGAGATCAAGCCAACTATCTGCTCCAACTATCTGCTGGTGGAAAAAAAATATTGGGAAGGAAAGGAGACAGGAGCTGTTAGACAAATATAGGGCAGCTACAGATTTAATTTAGCCTAAAGGAGTGGTTCCGATCATAAGCAGTATTTTTGCCTAGAATAGGAGTGGACAACCGATGGATGTCTAGAGCAATTGGAGAAAGCTGCTGACTATACAGACTGAGCAAAGAACTTGCAATCCCATTCATTGACAATTGGGATAGTTTCTAAGGCAAACATAAAATGTATGCAAGGGATGAGGTTCATTTCTCTAAGGCAGGGATGGTAGCATTAGACAGTTCTGTCAAGTTGGCCATTCCTCCTTGTCTAGAAATTAAATGGCAAAAAATGCCAAGATATCTCATTGATATGCTCAAGGAACATTGTTCATGATAAAGTTACTAATAAATGTAATGGAACTGATCACCAAACAAAGAGAGACAGTAGAGGGCAGAGAGTGACTAACTCCCTTAAGGTCTACTATATTAATAGCAGGAGCATAAGAAACAAAATGGACGAGATAAGATTAATTGCATGTGCACGAAGCATAAATATTATTGCTATAGCTGAGTCCTCGTTCAGCCTGAAAGACAGAGAAATGCCTTCTGAATGTCACATACAGGCTTTAAATTATTCAATCGACAGGATCAATATGAAGGGTGGTGGAGTAGGGATGTTTGTTAGTGATAATTTAAAGTGTTGTATTAGAGAAGATATAAAAGTGAGAGACAATGAATCTATTTGGCTACAATTTTTCGAGAAACTTGAATAAATAATCTTGGGTTTGATTTACAGGCCCCCAAATTTCGAAAGGGAATGCGTTAAACCTCTGTGGGACGAAATTTACAAAAAAGATGTTTTAAAGCGAAACTTTAGCATTAGATAAATTGATTAGAGTAATTTCAAATAGCAAAAAGGCACAATATCGTGACTGTAACAATACACAAATAACACACATATAGGAGAGGTGAGCTCATGATTACGCTCCTGGTTAGACTTGGACCATTAACAAAGTCACCCTGTGACTTTGTAAATGGTCGAAATCAAACCGCTGCGTCGTCATGAGCTCCCCTCTCCTATACCTGGTATATACCTGGAGAGGGTTTCCATGGGGTCAACGCCCCCGCCGCCCGGTCTGTGACCAGGCCTCATGGTGGATCAGGGCCTGATCAACCAGGCTTCACGCAACCCGGCGTTCAAGCCACAGCCCGGCTGCTTAGGTACTGACTTTAGGTGCCTGTGCGGAGCCTTCTTGAAGACAGCCAAGGGTCTATTGGTAATCCCTCTTATGTATGCTGGAAGGCAGTTGGACAGTCTTGGGCCCCTGACACTTATTGTGTTGTCTCTTATCGTGCTAGTACACCCCTGATTACATAAGGAGTGATTTTCGTGTGCAAGTTTGGCACACATCCCTCTAGGATTTTCCAAGTGAATATAATCATGTATCTCTCCCGCCTGCGTTCCAGCGAATACAGGTTTAGGAACCTCAAGCGCTCCCAGTAATTGAGGTGTTTTATCTCCGTTATGCGCGCCATGAAGGTTCTCTGTACATTTTCTAGGTCAGCAATTTCACCTGCCCTGAAAGGTGCTGTTAGTGTGCAGCAATATTCCAGTCTAGATAGAACAAGCGACCTAAAGAGCATCTTCATGGGCTTGGCATCCCTAATTTTGAAGGTTCTTATTATCCATCCCGTCATTTTTCTAGCAGATGTGATTGATACAATGTTATGGTCTTTGAAAGTGAGATCCTCTGACATGATCAATCCCTGGTCATTTACATTAGTTTTTCTCTCTATGGTGTGGGTGGAATAGTTTTAATTTCCTCACGTTTTCCATATCGAAGTAATTGAAATTTCTAATCATTGAATTTCACATTGTTTTTCAGCAGCCCATTTAAAGATTTAGCTGGTGTCCGCCTGGGAAAATTCTTCGGGTTTGTGCGTGGTGTTTTTTTTTGGCCCAATTAGACAATTGACAGGAAATCTTGAGTCCAACAGTTTTTTTGGGATATGACCCGGGGCTGAAATTTTTTAAAAACATTTTGTAACAGCTTATCTAGAGAAGGATTTGGGGAAAACCTTTCCTCTCCGAAAACCCATTAAAATATTTTATATCATTCGCGGGCCTTTACAAAATTATCAAACAAAAATTTACCCCTGTATATTTGGAAAATTTTTAAAACTCACCCTAATTGATAGCGGGAACTGTTTTCCTTTGGTGAGGGGGAGTGATGTTAGCGGGTATTGATGTTGTTCCCGACCCCGAAACTGCTTTTTCCAGGTTTGCGTCGGTCAGTTCGGGACCCCCATTTTAAACTCTTTGTGATGGTAAGCCGAAGTATCTTCATAATTTTTGCATATTTATTTCTTTTTAGGTTTCGTATTGTTTTCATTATACATATAAAATTGGTATGAGAAAGGGTTGGGTAAAAAAAAATTTATGTTGCTATGAAAAAAACCCTTTGGATTTAAAAAATTTTTCGAGTCCCCCCTTTTGCATTTTCCCGGGCATACCCAAAACCCAAATGTTTTCGCGGGCTTTATAGGGCCCCGCGGGGCGAAGCCCAACCCCGGGAATCTTGAGTGAGTAACCGGGTTTTGACTTGGTTCGTCCCAAAAAAGATTTCTTTTTTTTTAATAATAAAAAGGGTAAATGATAAGTTGGGGGAAAGTGAAAACAAATCCCCATTTTTCAATATATCAGGGAATTATTTTAAATAAGTACACCAAGCCCACTGCCCACAAATTTTTTCATTTGGGCAGATTTCAAAAGGGAAAAAAGGAATTACCTATGTAGGCGAACGTACGTGATCTGATGGTTATTATCCTGTGGGTCAGGAAAGGGCAGTGTTTGGTTGCACAAATTTAGGCTGCCCAGTCAGATTATGTTCCAAAAAAAGAGCAATTGGAACAGAATTTATCCAAACCTGTAAATAATAGAATTTAAACATTTTTTTAAGTCAAAAAGGACCATTTTCGGTGACCGGTGAGAAAAAGGGGAAACAAGAAATAAATTTTTTTTTAGTTAAAAAGATAAATAAAAAGGAGTAAGAACAAACAGAAGATTTCAGTCGCAAGGGATTTGAAGATTAAGCCTAAAGGGTTCCTTTATTAGGTATATGGTTGTTTAAGTGAAATTTCTTCAGTGACAAAGAAAAGTTTAAAAATCTTCAACTTCTATTTCCTTTCAGTTTTTAAAAAAAAATGATACCCTAGAAAGGCCTAAATAAAAAATGAAAATTATATATATAAAAGGGTTTAAGGGTGAAAAATTTGATATGTACGGTTTAAAATTTACAGGGGAAAATTTTCCACCCGACAAAAATTAAAACCAAACAATCCTCGAGTCCTGATGAACTTTTTAAATGTTATACGGAATGTAAAGAGGAAACTTAGCAAACCATTAAACTAGTTTTTTCAACAAAAAAAAAACAGGGCTAGCACCCGTGCCAGATTTTGTGCAGGAAACCCGATCGTTAGCTTCGAATTTTTAGTCAAATTTTTTTCCCAACCTCCATTGTTGGAAAGTTGAGGGAATCAACAATTGCCGAGGCCAATTTAAAATTTCCTTTTTTAAAGGACATAAATTTTATCAATGGAAAACACAATACGGGTTTTAAAAAAGGGTCCAAATTTCCTTTTTCAGAATTTGCTAAAATTTTTTTTAATTTTAAAGGGAAATTTTAAATTTAAAGGGAAATAGATTATGGAAAGAACATGATATTGATATAAATACTTCAGTAATGCTTTTTATTAAAAACCCAGGAGCCCATGGCCCTTTAAACCTGGGGGTAAAGGGAGCCAAAAATAAACACAGCAGAAAAAAAATTTTGGGCTTTTATTATCCTTCACCCAATTTTGAACAAAGTATGTTTCACATATACACTATGTCAAAAAATTTGTATTAGTGCACTCCACGGTAAGCAAGACAGAATAGAAGCCACTAGAGAGCAGACCGTGCTTCAACCAGCTCTAGATTGGGAATGACAAGGGCAGACAGGTGTGTGGTACCCACATCACCTCTGCGATTGCCAAAACCATCTTCTCATTGGCTGGAACCTGGGTACTGATTGAACGACGGGGCCCCATCATCAACCCTTAGAACCTGGTTCGCTGGTTGGAGGAGATAGCCTTTCATTGAGGGTGTGTACATGCGCCCAATAAAGGTTACGTACTCATTGCATGCCACACTTTTAATAGACATTCATACAGGAGACTGCTAAGGAAAGTCGAGACACACGAAACACCAGAGGATTTTTTTTTCTGGATAGACGGGTAGTTGACAGATAGGCAACGGTGTTTGCATAAACGAGAAGAAATCAGGGTGGGGATGCGTTGGAAGTAGTGCTCCAAAGGTGTCATGTTGGCTTCTTTATTTGCAAAATACATAAACGAGATGGGCGAGAGAATATGGAAGGGCATAAGCAAGTTTGCCAATGATACCAAAATAGGCCGTCGGGTTAATCCTATGTAGGACACTAGAGTACTACAAGAAGATCTCAATAAATTTATGCAATGGCAGATACAATTTAATGTAGACAAATGCAAAGTTTTAAGCCTTGGAAATGAAAATAATTATGTCACTTATGAGCTACATAATGTAGACCTTAATC